TTCGCTGTTTATCGATGATGTAGAATTATTCTTAAAACAAGATATTAGTAGTGGCCTTCAAATTAATGACATTATACTTATGCTATTACTTTTTGCTGATGACATGGTTAAACTAGGTAATTCAGTTTCAGAGTTAAATACAAGTTTAAGTCTCTTACATACTTATGGTAAAAAGTGGAGCTTAGAAGTCAATGTAGAAAAGACTAAAGTGATTGTTTTTAGGAAACGTGGTGGGTTATTACCAGAAGAAGAATTTTTGTATAATGACATAAAGCTAGATGTAGTTAATGATTTTAATTACCTCGGTGTTATTTGTAACTATACTGGCACATTTACTTTAACTCAAGAGCATTTAGTTGGAAAAGCTATGAAGGCCTTGAATATTTTACTTATGTAAGAAATACAATTTAAAACTTAAAATCTTATGCCAGTTATTTGATTCTTTTGTAGGTTCTATTCTTTGTTATGCATCTGAAATATGGAGTAGCAGTAAGTCAAAGGAAATAGAGAGTACATCTCAGGTTTTGTAAAAGGATATTAAATGTTAGGTTAAATACATGTAATGCAGCAGTTTACGGAAAACTCGGACGTTATCCATTATTTGTAACAAGATATGTAAAAAATGTAAAATATTGGTTAAAGCTACTACAAACTGATTATATTATTTTGAAAGAAATATATCACATGACTTATAATGATTGTACAAGTGGCAAACGTAATTGGTTATCTAATGTCAAAGATATGTTGTACACTTATGGTTTTATGGATGTATGGGAGAATCAAGGTTGTGTTTGTCATAAATCTTTTATCTCCGAATTTAAGCAACATGTAATAGATAACTTTTTACAAAACTGGCATTCTGGTATTAATGGTAGCCCAGTTTTGAATTTGTATAATAATTTGAAGAGTAGGTTTGGTTATGAACAGTATTTAGATCTTATACCAGGAAATCTTAGAACTTTTATAAGTAGAACACGTATGTATTCACATACATTAGTGATACAAACCGGACGTTATGGTGTAAACAGAATTCCCAGAAATGAACGATATTGTATAAATTGTAATCTTCGTGATATTGAAGATGAATACCATTTTATATTAGTATGTACCTGTTTTCTTGAAATTCGTAAAAAATATATTAAGAGATACTACTATGTTAGACCAAGTATGTTCAAATTTATTGAATTGTTAAATTGTAATAATAGGAAAATATTGTGTAATTTAGCTGACTATATCAGAGATGCTATGGCTAATAGAACATCCATGTCTTATAATATGTAATAATGAATGGTTAATCCTCTATGTAGGAAGTAAACAGAATATTTCATGTTCCTTTAGGGGTCACCTTTAAAAAAATTTCAAAGAATTTAATTCCATGCAGAACTCTGGTTGCCATGGCAACCGAATGAAAAATCTTTAAATATCTTCTTTTAAAAAACCCTAAGAGCTAAAGCTAAGATATTTTGCATGAAACATCTTCCAGTGAATGTCTACCAAGTTTGTTCAAATAAAAGCCCTGGGGTCAAAATTGGCCCCGCCCCAGGGGGTCATTGATTTTCCCTATATGCATATAGTAAAAACTTAAAAAATCTTCTTTTAAAGAACCCAAAGAGCTAGAGCTTAGATATTTGGCATGAAACATCTTCTAATGAGTGTCTACCAAGTTTGTTCAAATAAAAGCCCTCAGGTCAAAATTGGCCCCGCCCCAGGGGGTCATTGATTTTCCCTATATGCATATAGTAAAAACTTAAAAAATCTTCTTTTAAAGAACCAAAAGAGCTAGAGCTTAGATATTTAGCATGAAACATCTTCTAATGAATGTCTACCAAGTTTGTTCAAATAAAAGCCCTTGGGTCAAAATGGCCCCACCCAGGGGGTCATTGATTTTCCCTGTATGCATATAGTCAAAACTTAAAAAATCTTTAAAAAAGAACTCAAAAAGCTAGAGCTAAGATATTTAGCATGAAACATGTTCTAATGGGTTTCTACCAAGTTTGTTCAAATAAAAGCCCTGGGGTCAAAATTGGCCCCGCCCCAGGGGGTCATTGATTTTCCTTATTTGTGTATAGCAAAAACTTAAAAAATCTTCTTTGAATAAACAAAAAATAGCTAGAGTTTAGATATTAAGCATGAAACATGTTCTAGTGGGTGTCTACAAAGTTTGTTCAAATAATAGCCCTGGGGTCAAAATTGGCCCCGCACCAGGGATGTCATTGTTTTTTTAACTATATGTGAATAGTAAAAACTTAAAAAATCTTTTAAAAAACCCAATGAGCTAGATCTTAGATGTTTAGTATGAAACATCTTCTTATGGGTGTCTACCAAGTTTGTTCAAATAAAAGCCCTTGGGTTAAAATTGGCCCTGCCGGGTGGGGGAGGTCATTTTTTTTATTATATGTGTGTCGTAAAAACCTCAAAACATCATGAAACATCTTCTAATGGGTGTCTTTCAATTTTGTTCAAATAAAAGCCCTGGGGTTTAAACTAGCCCCGCTCCAGGGGCCTATATACAGTTGAGCGACCTCAGGGCCATCATGGCCCTCTTGTCTATATTTTCATTGTTAACAGTATGTATGTTAAGATCTATAGCTATATTTATGTACATTAAATGTCATGTGACTATTTTATAGTATATATAAATTGTACAAATTGTAAGATGATGTACCATATACAAATCTTGAATAGAATTTCTATTCTATTCTTCATAAATCTAATAATTTACATTTTTTATTTTCCATGTTACGTAAGGTCTGAACAGGTCACTGCAAAAACGTGTAGCAAACAAATTGACATCAGTCATCGATTTAGATATTATGCATTTAAACAATTTTATAGCAATGATATGAAAGAAATTGAATGTCCAATGAAAGAATAATGCAAAATGAACATGCTAACACTAACTGAAATTACACTTGTCACCTAACATACAAGATATGTCCATTTAAATGTAACCACTGCCAAGTAATCCCAACTTATCAGTGGTCATGCGATATTCACCAAGGATATCCGAATGTGGATACGGTTACAGTCAATCAGTAGAATCAAATGTAGACAAATTTTTATGCTCCCCGAAAAATTTCGGGGGAGCATATAGTCGGCGCCTTGTCCGTCTGTCCGTCCGTCTGTCCGTCTGTCCGTCCGTTTTCTTGTCCGGAGCATAACTTGAAAACCCTTGGAGATAATTTGTTTAAACTTCATATAGTGGTAGAGGGCATTGAGAGGGAGTGCAGTATCAAAGAACCATAACTCTATTTTGCCCGGTTTTTGAATTATCTCCCCTTATAGAAATCTTGTCCGGGGCATAACTCTAAAACTATAAGAGATATCAACATGAAACTTTGTAGGTGAATAGATCTCAATGGGTAGATGTGCAGTGCATAAAAACAATAACTCTTTTTGTCCTAATTTTGGAGTTATTGCCCTTTGTTAATTTCAACACTTTGAACTTTGTTCGGAACAAAACTCTAAAACTATAAGAGATATCAAGATAAAACATTGTAGGTAGATAGATCTCATTGAGTAGAAGTGCAGTGCAAAAGAACCATAACTCTGTTAAGCCTCATTTTTGAATAATCTCCCCTTATAGAAAAATCTTGTCCGGGGCATTACTCTAAAACTATAAGAGATATCAACATGAAACTTTGTAGGTGAATAGATCTCAATGGGTAGATGTACAGTGCTTAAGAACAATAACTCTTTTTGTCCTAATTTTGGAGTTATTGCCCTTTGTTAATTTTTACACTGAACTTTGTCCGGAACATAACTCTAAAATTATAAGAGATATCAAGATGAAACATTGTAGGTAGGTAGATCTCATTGAGTAGAAGTGCAGTGCAAAAAAACCATAACTCTGTAAAGCCTCATTTTTAATTATCTCCCCTTTTAGAAAATTTTTGTACTGGACATAGCTGTAAAACTATAAGAGATATCAACATGAAACTTTGTAGGTAGATATATCTCAATGGGTAGATGTGCAGTGCATATGAGAATCATAACTCTGCCTTGCCTAGTTCTTGAGTTATTGCCATTTGTTTATTTTTACTTTTTGAATTTGTCCGGAACATAACTCGGAAACCATAAGAGATGTCAACAAGAAACTTTGTAAGTTGATAGATAACAGTGATTAATTTTGGAATTATTGCACTTTGAACTTTTTCCAGGGAAATAACTCTGAAACTACAAGAGGTGTACTTTCCTGTGTCCAAAACCTGTCCGGGGAGCATCACCCGACTCAAACCGGGCTCTTGTTTACTAGTTTTATTTGTTCGACTTTTTTGAAAAAAAGTAAAGGTATTGTTATAGTTGCAGCGGCGTTGCCGTCCGCAAACTTGTACCTGTATCAAACTTTTTTTATTTATCGGTGTATTTTCTTCATAATTTGCCACAACAACCCTTGGGTCAAAACCTTTCAGTAGACCACACTAACATTGACCTTCATCCATAAATGTCCTTGACCTTCAATATTAAAAGTCCAAAATTTACTTGTTCTTGCTATTATGAGTGTAACTTTGTTATTTTTGAATGGATTGTCTTTAAACTTGAACATATTAATCTTCAAGGATATCCCTTAAAATACCCCGGGCATATAGTTATTGAACTGTCCGTCCGTCCGTCTGTCCGAACGAGGTTTACCTAGAACGGCAAGTTGGATTTTTCTTAAGTTCTACCTGTACCAATGGCTTCTTAGTGTACACACTTACTAATCAATACAAAGTACATGATCTGGTCAAGTTACATAACTATAGCTTCCATATTTACCAAGTTATTGCCCTTTTCACAGAAATGATCACCATATTGAGACAATGTGTCGTGCACAACATTTGGATTGTTTTTACACTTTGAACTTTGTCTGTGACATAACTGAAAATAATCATTATTTCACTTGTGGCTACCGCCACTCACGAAATATTTATTTTCATATCACTCGATGAAAATAAATCCTGTATTTTATAGAAAAACTTAAATACCCTCTATAATTTAGCATTTTACATTTTTTTCAGGTCTGGATCGGAGCTTACAAGACACGCCAATATATGTTATGCTTTACGTCGAAAAGCCAAAAGTTCGCAGACAATGGCTTCATATAGCCCTAAACTGTTAGAAAAGAAATACAATAACTGGGTTAAAGCTCAGTTAGCTGTATTGTTGACTAAAGAAGGAGTTGAACCTTTTGTTTGTAAGGAAATCAAACAATTTCAACTGAAATGTTTACATGATATATGTTACCTAAATAGCTTACCAAGTGGGACTTCTTGTTCAGTTTGCTGTACAGAAAATCTTGTAAAGTGTCCTACAAATAGAATATGTAATGTTGGGCGTGGGAAATGTATGTATCATCGAAATGTTGCAACACGTTACAATTCGTCTGGCTGTCCTATCAAGATATGTGACAACTTCAAAACTGAAATACAGAATTCACATAGGTACTACGGTCCGTCGTACAAAAACAGTGATGCTACCAAGTGGTGCAGTAATTTCTGGGAAGTAGCAAAGTGCTTCATGCCCCCAGATGGGTATAAAGGAAAGGCATCTGCAGCAGAAACAGACTTTAATGGTATAATCAGCGTTATCCTTAATCACAAAGACTTCCAGGGTAAAGTAAATGAAAACCTCAATAAGAAGATAAATATATTTGAAGAGGTAAACAATATTTCGATACTATTTTATTTAATGATATGAAGACTTATGTTTAGTACTTGGTAATTAAATATGTACATATATTTTTATGATCTAAGGAATTTAATACTACGGTATTATAGTTATAATAAATTGTGATTTCATCTTGTTTTCTGGAATAATATACATGTATACTAGTAAGGAATGATTTTTACTATTATTTAACAGTATGCTAGTTTACCACCAGTCAGTATATTTCATAAGCCAAAGAACAAAGAAAATCAAACTTGAGAAAACTGTACCATGAAGTTAAGAAAAAAATTTAACATTCGAGTTATTTCTTTACATGTTTTGTATTTTATGTAATATTTGTATAATGTACATTTGCAGTATTTATTACCATATTTGTTCTGCTTGACAATTGCAGCTATGTATTGCATATGTTCTATAGAAATATTGTATTATTGTGATGTAGCTTTTTACCCTTTTTTTTAGATAAAACCATGTTTACCATGTTTTAGATAAAAAAATATATATAAGAACTGTTACTCTATTTTGACCAGGCAAGATAAATTGGAAGAAATGTTCGACATTCATCAACTCTTGAAGTAGAAGACTCAGATCTTCAGAATTACTTTCAACTATTACAGCAACTCCTTTCTGACCCCGTGTATTTAGGTACTGACACGCATGCGCAGAATGCTAAACAAAAACTTTTACATGTGATTAAACTATTTCAACATTAGAATACGTTACACATTTCGACGTATGACTAGAACACAGTGCATTACATTTTGGAACAAATCATGTTGTTTACAAAAAATATACTGTTTTCCTTAACTTATGGTCGATTATCGTTGATGCGTTGTAAAATAGAATGCCTGTTATTTACTGAACGTAAACATAATGAAATGTTTCGGAACAAAATAGTTTGCTCCTCTTAAATGTTGACCGTATTGCAATGGCTCGTAAAGAAATATACAAACTTGTTTTTATAAATGAAATCTTATAACCTGGTAGGGTTTTTTCAAAATGCCCTCCGAGAAATGCAAAATAAAGTCAGACTTTTCAATTAAATACACGACAATTATTGTTCTATGCTGATGATTAATACTAATTTTCAAAATATTTTGTTTGTAGACATACCTGGTTACGCCCTTGTGACTATTACCTCACACAGGAACAAGCACTTATTGTTTTTACTACAATTGGAAATTTTAGGCTATCATAATTTTGATCAGCATGCAATTTACAAATTAGTGATGACAAACATTGCACACGTACTTGTTACATATAAATACTATAGATTAAATATATCTTTGAAATGTACACTTTATGATTAATAGATATAAAATTTCGATATACTTGTATATTGATTAATATTGTATATTTTATGGTATTTATAATTACAGTTAGAAAATGACACTCTTGTCATTGGTAAAGATGATATAAGAAAAGTACTAGACGATGTGGCAACAGCAATTCAAGACAAGATGAAGGCTGGATTAGATGATCAATATGACAAAATTAATCTAGAAATGATAAGAAGAAAACAAGAAGATCTTCTATGTCTTGAGTCTAAAACTGCCGAGGGAATGACACAGATACAAGACAAAACTGATGCTTCTGTGAAAAGATTAAATGACGAAAAGGACAAAGAAGTTGATACAATTCATAAACAAGGAGATAAAGAACGAACAGACCTGGCTGAATTAGGAGAGACATTACAAAAAGAACTGAAGACAGCAAGTAAAGTTGAGAAAGAAGAACAGTACCTGTCTCTTGATACTAAAACTGCCGAGGGAATGACACAGATACAAGATAAAACTGATGCTTCTGTGAAAAGATTAATAACTAAAGGAACAAAGAAGTTGATACAATTCATAAACAAGGAGATAAAGAACGAACAGGCCTGGCTGAATTAGTAGAGACGTTACAAAAAGAACTGAAGACAGCAAGTAAAGCCGAGAAAGAAGAACAGTATATTGATTCTACACAAAGTAAGTGATATAACATTGTCAAACTATTTTATCACATGACTTCATGTTTTCCATGTGATATTACTATTACGAATTTCTTTGTACTTAACACCTGATAAAATATAACCATTGAACACACAGGTTTGCGCCACATGATGTTCTAAAATCATCCATTCATTATTCTTTGGTCCAAAAATCTGTATCAAATGCACACTGCTCTCATTTAGACTCGCTTTTATTTTTCATGTCCAAATCAAGCCATATCAAATCCATTTTGTACACCTTCAAGCCTTGTTTTCATTTTCCAAGTCCAAATGTTCATATCAAAAACATACTGCACTCGAAGTGATCGTATGTGTAATATACATCTTTCTCATATTAAGACACCAGCATTGCTGATTTAACTCTCTATAGTAAAAGTAAAGAGTTCGTTATATATTATTAAGTACCATACTGATTTTAGCCAATATATTATATTATATCATTTCATTTGTTTTATATTGGGGGAATTTCAGAAGTACTTAAAAACAAAAACAAAAATTTCGAACAATGTATATAAGAAGGGGAAAAAGTGATGTAACTTTACATATTTTAGCATTTAGCTACATTTTATAATTTATGGTAAATCACGAATCCAAGAATCAACAAAAAGGCCTTTTACATGTAAGATAAATTAATTATAACATTGATTTTTCATTATATTTTTGTGGTCACCTTTAAAGATTGTTCAAAGAATTTAATTCCATGCAGTGCAGAAATCTGGTTGCCATGCCAACCGAAAGAAAAATCTTAAAGGGACTCCACTGAGATTTTTTGACATGATGGGACTGAAAATATTTTTTCCAGATCAATGTTCTATTTGATGTAGGTTAAGACCACTAATCTTTGTGCAAA